CAGTTCTCGTAAGCCTCCAGAAGGCAAATGTTCTCAAACAGTCCAATAAATCTACTTGGCAACTGCACAACAGAGTTAAACTCTGTCTAAGAGAGAGATAATTAAATACTTTTACACCCTCCAGTAACAGTGAAAAGAAATGTGGTAGTATGTACTTATAGTCCATTTATTTGCTGCCATTCTTCTGGAATTGCCTTATTTTTGTAAGGAGGCTTATCCATGTTCCTGACTGTTCAGTAACTCCAAACATACAAATAAATACAATTTTTCATTCAATAAAACTTGAGAGGACAAGCACAATAAAATTTGTCCTGTTCCTACACATCCCACTTTGCAGTATGTAATGAATTACTGATAAATGAGAAAAGATAGATAGATAGATACGGATAAATCAAGACAAAAGTACGTTAAATGTAATCTTCCATCATAACATAAGAGTGAATACACCACTGTAACTACGTTTTTATGAATAAGTCTAAAAAGCATATTCAAGAATGACAAAGAAATAGCAAATTATGGGTCTTCTCAGCTTCAGTAGTATTTCAGTACATTTCAGAATCTAAAACTAAGCTTGGGAACACGTAACTGTTCAGACATCATGTTAATCCCAGAGGACTTTGAAGCCAACTTCTCTGCTTATCAAAAGAAATTAGCGTGTTTTGTTTACTTTAAATAGAGTTCAGGTCTTCACTAAAGTATCCTTAAAGAACTGTTCCAGGAGTTCTGCCATGTTCTGTAAATGATCTTGACTGCATTGCTTTTACACGCGAGTCTTAATTATTTCAAAACTTGCAAAAAAGCACTTCTCTTAATGAGGGACTCACAGTCTTGCTGCCACCAAAGAATTAACATGCAGTTTACTAAGCACCAGTTACCTGAGCAGCAGAAAAAGTTCAGAGAGATTCTTTTGAACCAAGTTATTTCCCTCCATTTTTTTGTGTGGGATGCTTATACATTTAAAGAAAAGGATAAAGACACCTGAAATGTGAAGTCTGTATCAAGTTTATAATGTATATTTTTTGCAATTATTTTTTTGCCAAATATGTGGAATAAACTACTATACAATTTTCAAGATATGTCACTTCCCTTCCAAAGGGCTTTGAGAAAACAGTTTGCTTACTTTAACCATAAGGTTAGATATTTTCAAGAACTCTAATGTTAGATGAATGTTTATATTGTGCTTTGCGTTACTACCCACTTGTCATGCTTTTAGTAACCCAGTGAGAATTCCTACTCAGTATCTCTTCTGTCTCTGCTTCTTATTTTCTTAAGTAACAACAAACAAAAGCTGTTTTCAGGAAACAGCTTTTCTTTAAGAATTGTTACACATCACACTCTCGAACAGAGTTGCATTTGATTTGGATTTACTACAGCCTCCTAGAGAGGTTCTGAGATGGTATCATTGTAGACTGCAATAATTCTTTAAAAAAGAAAAAAAGGAGGAAAAAAGCATTCCAGCCTTGGAACCAATTACATTCTTCTTTCCACACACACTCTACTTAGAATTCCAAGGATTAAAATCTTAACGTGAATCTTGAATGATTAATGAATCCATGAATTAAAAATTACAGATTAAAAGTAGTAGTGACTACCTTGTAACTTGCTATCTTTCACACAAAGACAGATAGAAAAATTCACTTATTTCCAGAAGCAGTTCAAGCAGCAATTAATTTAGCTGGTATTCAGTTAGTGGTTAAGCATCCTGCAGAGGAGATAAATTTGGGCAATGCAGAAATTTGTCAAAGGAAATGGAAGCAGATTCAAGAATAGGGAAGAGCCAAATAGGGAATAAGAGGTTTAAGTGAAGTAGAGGGTCATGTAATAAAGTAAACCCAACAATAAATGAAGAGGTGAGCAGGAAAGGTACAATTTATGTATGCCAAATGGTTATTGCTTAAGAACTACTTAATCACAAGATAGCAATTTGTAGACTAACAGACCAGCAGAAACATACAAACACTGCTAGACAGTGCACAACTGATAAAGTCCAGTTCTTAAGAGTCTCATTCCAGTTCTTAAGAGTTTGTTCTAGCCTTTCAAACTTGAATATCTGCACGACCAGAATAGGCGATAATGGAAGAAACCAGATTAAGAGTAAGGTCCTGGAACTGTTGCCATTTTACCAGAATAAATATGCATTTACATATAAACTTTATACATTAAAACACATACATTGTATGACTCTCAGGTCTTACAGAAAAATGAAGTGTTTAAAGTATTATCTTACACAAGTCAGTCCTGAAACTGCCATAAGCATTATAAACAGGAACATACTTGTATAACTTCGTCTATGACGGAAATATTAATTCAATACAATGAAAAGTTTAAGTCAAAACGATAGTTATAAAATCCATTTACTTTTAACATCAGAAGTACTCCTGCAAGCTGTTGTATAAATGCAGCCATTATAACTCATGCTCTCAAAAGAAACCCACAGAATCCTCCTGCACTAGAGTATAGTTACCACTTATACACAAAATATTTGGCATAGGAATCATCTTGATGCTGACAAGAAAACAGTACATCAACAATGGAATGTTACCATGAGGAACACAAAAACGATTTTAGGATACTGCAGGAGAGATAACCCTTGGCAGGTACCGTTGTGGTAGTTACTACTCAAACTAGAATACATACATAATTCAAGTAATCCCATTCAGGAAGGGCTAAACTTGAATACAACAGGTGCAAAACACAGAGGAAACTAAGAGTGCCTCATGTAAGATACCAAAAGAAAGACTGAGCATGGGCCTAATGACTGCTCTCAAACACAAAGGGACTAGGTGCCAGAGACAGATGGTATCCCAGGAGCAAGTACAACCTACCTAACTTAAAATAAAGTCCTGGCCTCCGCTAGGAACAGAAAAAGCAGCAGAAAAGCACAATTCAGCTAAATCCTACAATTTAATGCAGCTCCTTTTAACAGACTGAACCCTGTGACCCAAATCTCTTCCAACTTGGAAATAAATTCAGAAGAGCTGAAAGATATATAAAAAATGAGAACTATATTAAAAGAACTCACTAGTTCTACCTACTGATAAATGTATTTTTTACCTCACAATGCTGATGTAAGCTCCAGTGCTGATTTTCACTATGATTCCTTCCATCTGTTGCTTATTGCAAAGACACTATACCTCTTCATACCACTAATGTAAGAGGACAACTCAGAAAGTTAACTGCATATTCAGTTCTTCAAGCACTACTAGTAAGTTACAGACATACTTGACTACACTGGTTCTTTAGTGACTTCAAAGTTATTCAATAACGATACTTCAAGCTTTTTGCACAGCTGTAATATTGAGTAATTTGGAAACAAATACAGTAGAAGTTGCCAAGAACAGTCTCTTTGAGGGTTGAAATGGGTTGAAATACTAGCTAAATAAATTTAGCTAATAAAATTGTTTTACCAAAACCTACTGATCAGATTAAAAACTTCTCTTGCTCTGCATGAAGTAATGGGTGCTTAAAAACAAACCAAAATCTTGCAAGCTATTTCTGAATGTGCATTATAGTAAATAGCCTCTAACTAGAGGAATTCTCAGACCGTTTTCAAGTTTTACCAGACATACAAAATAACTTCAAGATATTTTAAAACAAAATTAATTTAAATCCGGTATAACACACACACACACACAATAACCCTCAAAACTGCATCCAATGCTGTTCTTTCAAACCATAACTTGGATGTTTTTAAATCTATAACTACTCCTGAAGTAAATATTTCTCTAAGTAAGTATAGAGATACAAATATTTTTCAGGAGATTGCTAGATAAATTTGTAATGATTTTTAGATTCCCCATCTAAAGTTATGTATTTGTTTCCACAACTTACCTTTCAGTTTATGGAACCAGAAATTCATCATACTATGCTATGAAAAACATTCTGTCCTACTGCAGCAACAAGAAATTAATGGGAGTCCTAAAATTCCTTCAATTAGAAAAAGTAAACAACTGAATTTCATCTTGAAATACTTTGGTTATGAAAATAGTCATTTACCAAGATGTTAAAAGTATCCAGAAGCAAAACATGAAGTAAATTGAGTAGTTCTGATGCAAGATTCAGAAAAAGCAGAAAATGACATTAACAAAATATCCAAATTTACCATGTTTGTGAGTGAAGGAAACATTTTACACATCATTGTAAATAAAACATGGCTACCAAAACAGATGTGCAAATATCAGTGATTACAGATGAAAAACAGTTTGGGGCAGGAATAAGGGTGTTAAAACACAGGCGGTCTGCAGAATTTCTGGAGCTTCTCTATAGTTACCTGATACCAGGTTCATATTAAATTTGGTGTGCTTCTATTTATTGCACCAAAAAAGGTATCTAGTAGGAAGACTGCTGAGTGTATCCTTGAAGCAGCAGTCAACCATCATCAACTTTACATAGATTTAGCTCTGAGAACAGTGACAACAATTAACACTTGTTTTATTCAACACAGCCAAAGCACATAATTACATCCATCACTATATGCTTTCATCTAGTCAGCTGAAAACATACAAGACTATTAAGGATTTCAGTTAAGAAGACTAAATCATTATATATGAAAGGAAAATTCTGATTACTTTCTCACCCCAAATCCTTTAAACAAAATTAACTTACCAGTTTAATGGCCACATATTCATTTGTGTATAAATTTTTTCCTTGAAAAAAGAACAAAAACAAGAATGAGACATTTGCTTTCCTGTTTGAGTAAAATGCCATTTAAACCCTCAAGAAAACCTTTGAAACATTTTTCATCTAAGGTGCTAGGTGTTCTGATAGTGACTTAAAGAAAATGTGGCTTTATTAGTCTGATACCATACTTTAAAGAAAACTTTGCTCTTGAATACTGTAAGAAGTGGCAGTGACACTGAGAGTTTCAGCTATTTCACCAAGTTTACAAAATTTTTATACACTAGAAAAGCTTGAAAACTGGTAAATTACTGTAAGTGGAATGTGATATTTATTGCTGAAAACTATATAAAATATATTTTTTAATTGTCATATGGTTTTGGAACACCAGACACTAATTCAAGTTAGAATTAACTAAGACTGTATTTTTCCTCACTTCTGTAATTTACTAAGCTTAAAGTTAGGACAAGAATATTACCTATTTGAATGCTTACACCATTTGGAAAATGCATCTGCTGCTTTAAAAGTGATTCCGCAACTGGATAAATATATTCCAACAAGCATTACTTCAGACGGTATGCAATTACTAAAATATTAAACAAGCTCTATAGGTGTAAAATTAAAAAATAGCAGATAAAGGAAAAAAGTTATCACTTCCGAAACTTTTCATTTCTCTACAGTCTTTAAATTACTGTGTCTTGCTTTTAATAACAATCATACTTATTTCTCTGTAGTATTACTCAGGTCTGAATTTCCTATGTTTAGCTCAGTTTTGTTAAAGAACGAAGACAGGGAAAGGACATGGATCAAGACAAATAGGTTCCCTGAGAAGGCAGCTACATTTATAGTCAAGGACTATGATACCAGCTCTAATCCATATTTTTTAGAAATAAAACTACTCTTGCAAAGCTGCAAAAAAATTATTCAAGTCATGTATCTGTTAAGGGATTAATTTTGCAAAAGGCAAAATACCTGAAGGCTGTACAACAATAAACACAGAATCACTATGGGCAGCATGCCCTAATCTGACCATCAAAAGAATGGATAATTCCAAGACCTTTCCAGGGACTAGAGTGGAAATCCAGGCATCTTAGACAGTTATTTCTTATCTTATGATCATCCGAGTTACATTTTTGACAAAAAGTGTAATTTGTTTGAAGATGATTCTGTGTCTTTGTATGTTATTACAATCTAGAAGACAATAAAAGAAACTGCTGCAGGAGCCCTGTTCATTCCGTCTATTAGAAGTAGAAATCAGCTACTGGAGTAGCTAACAAATCCAGTTACAGTTAAGTGACTGGATATTAGGATCCAGCAGTTAAATGCAGAAATGACAGGGTTATTGTCAAGAAACATCAGAAGGGACATCATAACTTTCAATGTGGTAATTCAAGACAATACGGTAAATATTAAAAAATAACAAATTTAAATCAGAATCTGTAATACCAATCTTAACTCCTGCTTTCAGTAACTTACAAATTTAAAACATCTTCCCCCACAAAAAGCAATAAATAAGGATTTGAAATATCTACTATATATGTCAAAAAAGCAGATGTTAAAAAAAGCCTGCGCTTGTCCTGGTGGCTGTTGCAGGACAGTACACTATACTATTACCTTCCTCCTATTTCTTTTACTTGTTTGTCCTATTTCATTTCAGTAATACCAGACTTCAAGTCTTAAAGTCAAGTATTAAAGTCCTACTTTAATATTGTATTTAGAATGACATAGATTATTTCACTCTGTATCTGCTGCAAGCAAATGAGTTAATCTGATACTGATCTGAAACAGATTATCTACTCTGTACATTGTACACACTCCAAGATAACAGGCAGGCAAAAAAATATTAGTGTATAGTTGCTTTCAGAAATAATTGTGACTAATTATAAACTTTTGATTTAAATCTCTTCATGGGGAGGTTTGAAAGAAAAGTTATCAAAACCAGTTTACAAAAGTTTAGAACAAGCTGAAAACTGAGCTTCAGCTTGACTTGTGAACTGCAGAGGCAGACATCTAACACTGTAAAGGCCAACACATATCAGTCTTGTTTAACTATTAATAGGTATAACAAGGGTTCCTCTTACTGAGACTGTGTTAAATTCAGTACCCTCAGTCAGAGCTCCAGCAATGTTTTATTTCATGCCTCTACAGTATTAATATGCTAAGCTTGTTCACATTCTGACTCAGGCTAGATATAAGGCCCTCAGAAAGCACTATATTAAAATCATGCTTATATATGCACGCTTATAACATGCATAAAATATGACATGTTATTTTTTATGCAAGCATTACATTAAAAACATTGTCAGTAGGATGAGTAGTAATTCTACCTGAAGCAGAAGATCAACAAACACAAAACCTACATCACCCCAATCTACTCTCAAATATTCTACAAACCCATCGCTCTTTAAACATTGAAACAGCACATTAACTCAAACCTTCCAGGAATACTGGAATTGAGTGTCCAGTTATATGAGTTAACACATACAGAATTCCCAGACCTTGAAAACCCCGGCTTATCATGCTGTCATGATTAAAATTTAAGTCGCCAAAACTAAAACTAAAGCACACAACCATCATTTGGTGTCTATTTTGATTTGTCTATTAAATGGTAAAACTTCCAGCTTTGCTGCCCAAATTCTTCAAAATTCCACAGGTCCTTCTCAGTCTGTCCCTTCACCATTTGATTTTCATCCATCTGTTCA